AGTGTTGTAAAACCACTGCTTACAAGGTGAAGGACGATTTTTCATAGTTAATGAGAAGCAGAGAAGAAGGAGGTTCTATAGATCGGCCCTCTGTGTGTCCGTTATGCATTTCATCTCACTTGTAATTGAATTTTGATGAAACTATGGGGAATTGTGTAAATAAGCTTTAATATTACTCTGCTTAGTCTGAGGGGAATGATACAACATGTTTGTGATTGCGTGTTCATCTTATACAAGCTGCTAAAAACCTACGGGAATAATGCATCTTTTTGTTCTGTTCTGCCATATTCAAATTTGCACTTGATTGGTCTGATGGGGGTGCTACAGTATTTGTTTACTTGTTATTGATTGGCCCAAAGGGAGGTGCAGAGATTGTGGGCGATGGCATATTTGCTGTTGCCTTGTTTTGAAGAATTGTGTTTACATGAGGTGGAAAAAACAAATGTAACAAACTGAGGATCCAACATCCAACAAATTTTCTTCATACAGTTCCACAGTTGATAATAATAATAATAATAATAATATTTTGCCAACTTCAAAGAATTTACTTTTACCATAACCATCTACATGTCTCTACTCTGTATGTGTGAAGACCTCCTTCGGAGTCAGTAATAAGATTACAGAGGCTATTTTTACCGTGTCTGGAGGTGGTGGAGCCCTGGGCCTTTGTGAGACGCTGGAGAACAGAGTCCGGCCTCTGGTGGAAGGTGGAGAGCTGAAATGCCTGGAAGGTGCTGATGGACCGGCTAAAGAAAGCAGAGGAAGAGAAGTAAAGTAGAGGGAGATTTAGTTAGTGATGGAGAACAGAGGCAGGTCTAAGGTGAAGCATGGATAACTGGAATGATGTGGAAAAGATGGACTGATGAATAAAGTGATGGATAAAGACAGGCGAGGAAGTGAGTGGTAGACAATTTCAGAGAACTGCTAACTCAATATCTCATGTGTATAGGAAGCTCAGAGGGTAATGTATGGTGAGACATCAGTATCTTTCAGTGTGTCAGTCAAGGCCTTGTGTCACTTCATGCCCTAAACAATGACTGTATGAGCCACACTGAAGGACACTGACAGGCAGAAAGCGACTGATGGCTGAGGATACACAGTGAAAAGGAGACTGTTATCATGCCTCTAAGGCTACCCCCTAAAAAGTTTAAAAATGTGAAAAATGTTCACATAGAACCTCTCACTCACACACACACACACACACACTAAATGTCCTGTGTGTGTTAGCAGCACCACCGAGCCAGTCACGATGTGCTTATAGAGCATCAACTCTCAGTTGATGAAGGAATGACATTACATTACATGCTTTTTCTGCATTTATTAAATATTCAATTAAATTCTATTTTATTTACAAAGCACCAAATCACAACAACAGTTACTTCAAGGGGCTTTACCATATTGTAAGGTAGAGACTCCAAAATAATACAGAGTTTAGATGACCCCCTATGAACAAGCACTTGGCGACAGTGGGAAGGAAAAACTCCCTTTACACAGGAAGAAACTTCCTGCAGAACCTGGCTTAGGGAGGAGTGGGTTGAGGGGATAGTAATGCCCAATTAACAACTTTATTAAACTGGCGTGCCCTCACCTCTTGCGAGACTGCAGTGCTGCCCGCTTGGCCAGTAATGATGGAGGGTACTTCTCGAACAGGTCCTGTGCCTGGCCAATCAGAAGCTCGTATGGGAGATCCTGGGGGATACGAGAGAGGAGGTGGTGGACCATGGCCATGTCACACTCTGTCTGCTTCACCTCCTTTTCTCTGTGCAACACAATCTGAGGAGAAGAGGAGCAAAGCACCAGTTAAAACTTTTAACCCTAAAGCAGATCACTCTGGGTAACACTTGAATACTAGACTGCATATATAGTACATTAGCTTGCGTTGTTTGTGAGGCGCAGTAAGTGCACTGCAGACAGATAAGCAGATGAAGAGTTAAAGCCCCATGCTGTGCGCTGTACTCTGCCTGGGAGGAAACATGAACTACATTCTGCTTTGTTGTTTCACACACTTCAAACAGAGCTCTCCCTCTGCCCAGCCCCTCTAAACACACTCACACATACACACACATAAAAACATCCTCAAGTGCAAACAAGAAGCCACTAATCAAAATGCACAGACTCTACAGTTAAATAACACAAAGGAACAAAGGACTTGTGTACACTCTCGACATAACATACTTCAGCAGACAGAAACAATCCAGCTGGAAGTAACACGCATGTATGGCATGCAGCAGTTAGTGTGGAGGAGCAGATGAAAAAAGTCAAAATGTTTTCCCTTTGTAATCTGTTTCCGTGTCCTTCCTACTAAAGCTCTCACATCAGTCAGCTCTCTCTGCTCATTCTTTTTCCCTTTCCTCTTTAATCCCTCCCTCTGTACCCCTCTTTCTCATCTGCTCATTAGGAAGTATCTAATTAACTAGTCTGATGACTTCACAGTACTCTGCCTCACTCTGTGTGCGTGTGTGTGTGTCAACATGTATTCACGTGTTCTGGATTACTGACAAAACAACCTCATTGGCTCTCGCCCATACCGTAGCAGCAAGGTAGATGGGCATCAGGGGATGTGAGGCCAGGAAGAAGTCGTACAGTCTCAGGGTATGCTTGAACTCTGAGAGAACATGGCCGTACCATGTGATGAGCCAGGAAAGTGCAAAGATGGTTCCAACCTCCGCTCTGAAGACCAAAGGCACATTTCATCATGTTACCTTATTTTAACATTTCATTTGATTGTTTTTTTTGTAACCCTGTTTATACATATATCTACGTTCATATTTGCCCTGTTTGATCCTTTCTGAACTATTTTGTATTTATTTATTTATTCTTGGACTTCTCTAGACTGGTTTTGTATCATTCACATTTCAAAATAATCCCCATTTATTTACACTGGGTCTTAGTGCAGCAGATGGGTGGGGCTGCTGTGCTCACACCCATAGCCTGTGCCTAAGATGACCACATTAAAGATATTTTAATACAAATCCAAAAACAGAAACATTTCTGAAACCATAACAGTATATACTGTACAGTGTTGCCTCTGTACACCACCACAGCAGATTTTGATTAAAATAGCTAATATGTGATTGATGTTCACACTTTTAGCTGTAATTCAAGAAGTCTTACAGAAAAGTATTTCATCAACTATTTAGACATTGCAGGCATTTTTATAGATCAGAGGCTCAAACGCAACCTGAGAAACTAACATTTTACAAACGGGGACTGAAAGAACATCATCAAATATCCCTGTACTGTTAGACATTGATTTTATTCCACTTTCTCTGTCTTGAGAAACTCGTCAGTTGCTTTTGCAGTTTCCTTTGGACTCTGAAGTAGCATCCATATTTGGCTGAATCTGAGCAGATAATATAGCCCTGTACACTTCAGAATTTATCCTGCTACTTCTAGCAGCAGTCACATCATCAATAAACACTAGTGACCTGGTTCCACTGGCATTCATACATGCCAATGTCATAACATTGCCTCCACATGTTTGACAGATGATGAGGTCTGCTTTGGATCATGGGTTGTTTCTTTCCTCCTCCATACTCTTCTCTTCCATAATTCTGATATGAGTTCATCTTGGTTTCTTTTTTTTCCGGAGCTCTTTTAGATGTTTTCTGGCAAAGTCTAATCTGGCCTTTCTGTTCTTAAGTGTAAGCAGTGGTTTGGACGTTTCGTTGACAATGACACACCTACCTCCTGGAGAATGTTCTTGACTTGGTTAGATATTGTGAAGGATATTTTTTTTTGTTTTTGTATTTTTAAACCAAGGAAAGAATTTGTAAAAATCAAGTGTCTTATCTGGTCTTCCGGGCCTTTTGGTGTTGCTAACTTGGACTATGTTTTCCTTCTTTTTAAAGATGGACCAGATTGTTTTCTTGGCCACTTCTTAAGTTTTGGAAGTCAATGATGTTCTATTATCACCCAAATTTCTATGAAATAACAAGACACATTTGAACCTTTCATTGTTTGGGAAGCCAACCCCTCCCCCCTAAAAAAAATTCCTTTGACCACAATAAAGGTCAGACTTGTGTGTCTGACTCATGCCTTTAAGTCACATTTTAAACATGTGGTCAAGTATGAAAAGTGAGAACGTACAATCACTCTTTCTTAATATATGACTGCCTGTTTTAAGTGATCCAATGACACAGGACATGTGGATCAAAACCAGAAAAAAAAGAAAACCTCTGGATCTGAGTTGGTTAAAAGCTATTTTCCCCCCGCTCATTGCCTTTAATACATATGTCATAATCCTGAAATCCTGAACACTTGAGATATAAAATACAGAACTGAAAGAAAAGTATGTTTTTTCAACCTCACATATATCCTGCTACTGTGCCTCAAGTAAAATAACAAATTAGAAGTTTCTGATCAATACTGGACAGGAGAACTGAGCGACAAAGAACAAATGCGTGCTAAATAAAGGGACTGACAAATGGAAAGAAGCAGGGACTGATTGATAGATAGAGGAAAGGAGCAAAGGGCAAAGATCATGTGCGATGGGTTGGGTAGGGATTGAAAATGAAGCAGGAGAAAAAGAAAAATAAAGGTGAGCAAAAGAACAAGTACAGAATAAAATAGGCAGAGATAAGAAGACAGACAAGGAGAAGAGGAAGCGCACAGCAGAAAGGGTGACTGAAACTTTGAAGTAGGGTGTTGTTTATCCTGCTGTCTTCTCCAAGTGCAATGTCTTGTTTTTTGTGCTTTTTCTGTTTATGTCAGCATGTATGCGAGACAGGTAGTTTGCAAATATGGAAGTTGCCAGTACAGTATCAATTATGAACAGGCAACAAGACAAAAAAAAAACAAAAAAACAAACTGCAGACATGCACGCATCAAAAATACTTTAAAGGGTGATTCGATTCATTGATTTGCAAACATTCCCATCCGCAGTCCTACACACATTATCTGCAGCAGCTGGCTATTTCTTGACGTCCTTTGTTTTGTGTTTTAACAAACTGCAAATTGTTCATATATCATTTTTAGGTGAATTCACTAGTGTCTCGCAAATAAAGTTAAATGTGGTGTAAAACTTGGCAGGACAGACAGGCTGTTGTACCATTTGATAGCTGAACTCCAACTGCTGATGCGTTTTCAGTAATATTTTAATTCAATTGCAAATACACTAGCCGTTTCTCTCCCTGTAAGCATTATAGGTAAAAACCAACACTGTGGTGCCCTCTAGTGGTCACTACTTTTTGTACCTGATCATGAAGTTATGCAGTTCCAAATCAACCTGCTCCAAAATAGGCATCAGATAGTTTAAAATGTGTTTGGTGCTGTCCATGGTAGGATCCATGAAGTCCCTGCACAGAGAGAAGACTTGCAGAAGTTGGAAAAACATTTTAACTATACATAAAAGTATGAGAATCAGCAGGAAATAAAATATCCAACCTGAGGTGATAATTAGACAGTGTGTCCAACAAGGCAATGGCCATTCGTTCCCCAACTACCAGCAGCAGAGTGACGGCCACATCATGGTAGCCTTGGTAGTAGTGCAGCTGAGTGTTACGCTTCAAAACCTCCAGTATGATGTCGATGAGCTGCTCCTGAAGCACTGCTCTCTCCGTGGCTGGCATACCTGCAGAAGAGCAAATGAGCAGTGCATTTATGTAATCCAAAAAGAGACGCTAGAAAGGGTTTATTGTTGGATTATTAGAGTTCAGAATACAGAATCCAGTGTTTTCTATGGGCCTCATTCTGCTATGTTGCAAGATTTTAAAGGCAAATGTGCTTGCTGACTCTGTAAACAACAGTAGTGCTGTTGAATTTAAAATACAACAACACTCTCAGCTCAAAAAAGTGGGAACTCCTCCTGTGAAGATTAAACTTGGTTTATAAATTACTCACAAGATAACTCCATGTTGCTTTAAGGTCAAGGTTACAGTTTAACAAATGGCACATTGCGCTATGCTGCTATCTTTAGAGATAAAACACACCTACCTACCCACCCACACCCACACACACACACACACCTTTCGGAAAACGCTTCATCGACCTCCTGACATCAAGGACTACTTGGTTGTAGTCTTTGTGGTTCTCCCTCACATCTCGACCTACAACAAAAGAAATGTTTCCCTTATTGTTGCTAGCATTGTTTGCACTAGGAGCACTTAATTTATTACTTATTTATGCAGTTCATCAAACACTAACCACGCATTAAATTAAGTGTATACTAACCAGGTTTATGTGGTAGCTCATAGACATTTATGTTCAGTAGTTTGGGCCATACTTTTCTCCTTAGCTCATCAGTGAGCAGTCCTCCTTTACTGACTGCCGCTCTCCTCAAGGTCTCAATGTCCACTGGATCACTGTTCATTCAAAAGCCAAAATTAGACCATTTTTATATTACTTAAGGTCTGCTCATAGTATCTAAAATTTGCACCAGTTAGAAACTCCTACCTCTGATTTAAATAAACTAAGAAAACAGCTAATGCATTTTTTGTAGAATTAAAAAATTACTATGTTCAACAGGTCAGCACTATTTATATGTTAATGTAATTTAAATTAATTTCACAGGCTAAAATTTAATTGGAGTCATTTTAAGTAGTTTAATAAAAAATCTTTTAAAAATTACTGCCTGAAGTCTAGAACACATGTGCATGACCAAATATGACTTGGTCATTGAAGAGAATTCCCCCAAAATAATAATAATTCTCTCTTGAGCTGCTTTTGCAGAACCCTTTTGGAATTTCCACCGCTGTCCAATCAGTTTTGCAGAATTTGGCTGAATCTGAGTAGAATGAACCCTGCTGCTTCAATCAAGAGTCTCATTACTATAGACTAGTGCCCCGCTTTCACTGGCAGCCATACATGCCCATACCATAACATTGTAAACACTGTGTTTGACAGATAATGTGATATCCTTTGGATCATGAGTGGTTTTCTACTTCTCCATACTTAACTCCCCATCATTCTGGCACTAGTTAATCTTACTTTCATCTTTTTTCCAGAACTGTTGCCACTCTTTTATATGTTCTCTAGCACAGTCGAATACAATTCTTGAATGAACCAGTAGTTTGGACCTTATTGTAAACCCTCTGCATTTCCATTCATGAAGGTGTCTTTTGATTGAAGACCTTAAGAATGAAACACCTACTTCACAAAGAGAGTGTTCTTGATTTGGCAAGATCTTGTTTTGGCATCATCTTGCCAAGTGAATTCACTGGCTAGTGATGAACCACATGATTTTGATCACTACTAAAGTTTCTGTGTTCGCTCTCTGATAGGTTTATTTGGGGATTATTCAGACTAATGATGGCCCCTGTCACTTTCATCAACATCAGTTTTGGACTTCAAAATTAAATTCAGATGAACAGCTCCTGACTGAACACCTCGAATGAACTCCAGATATTTTATCTGTGTAATTTGTCATGAATTAATGAGGGAGCAGGCTTTGCCTGGCCATGAAAGTGCTAATCAGTCAATTGTCCAATTACTTCTGAGCTGCTGAAAATAAGGGACTAGCTATAAAAACTGCTATAATTTTCAAGCAGTTAATGCAATATCTTTGTGAAACCCCTTGAATTACAGCTTAAAGTCAGCACTTCAATCACATCTTGATTGTTTTATTTCAGTTTTAAATTTGAAATTCACTGGGGTGATGTACAGAGGCAACATTAGAAAACAAAAATGTATCACTACCCAAAAATGTGTGGACTTAACTGTATAACACATTTTAGGACACAGTTTAACGGTATTTTTTTTAAAACACTTTTTAAACTGTTCTTGAGAAATTAGTCTGGCTGCTTCTGCCTCCTCTTTATAGTAAAGTCCTTATGATTACATCATAATATTCCTGAACACACCAGAGTAATCACCACATGTGCCATCATGTTAGTATAAAAGTTATTGTCTGTTGATAAATTAGTGCCATCTAATTGTGAAATAGTGTATTGGATAAGAAGGTAGAGGGGATTTCTCCAGTGGAAATATGCCTTATGCCCTGGAGTTGTAGAACTATCTGAGGTATTTATTACCATAGAAAATATTGAAAAAAAGATCCACTTTTTAGGCTTCTAAAATGATGAAGAAGATTGTCAGGATTTTCATGTTCGCTGAAGCAACTATTTTCCTGTTTTATTTCACTCCTAGAACATAATACACAAATCTGAAAGTCCCATGACTGGCAGCACATAGCTCAAGAGTGTAAAATTGCTCTTCATCTGCTTAAAATTGCATGTCCAGTTTTTGTGGTGTAAGCACACTCAAGAGACACACTGTGATATTAACCTGATCAAAGCCTGATGGATCTCGGCCAGCTTCTGCTTCCTACCACAACCTGGCTCTGCAACAAACAGGCAGAGATGAAGGTGTAAGAAAACAAAGTAAAAGCGAGTGGTATGGATGAAACAGACAGTTGTGCGAGAGCGTCCACACAGAGAGAAGAAAGTTAGGGGGGGAAGAAAAATGGATAAGGACAGAGACTCGAGGATCACGTTTAAAATCACACTATTATGGCTTTGAAGGTAAACCCAAAGATTTATACTTATTTTACTAACCTGCACAGACAAACCAGGTGTTTTTTCATTCATTTCATACTAAAAGACATTGCCTTTTTTAAAAGTCATTTACGCAAGCAAAGCCATTAGGATCAATGATCATAAAGTTATCTAAATGCTATGCTTTAGATTGCAGCCAGTGTGAGTTAAACGCAAAACAAGTGACAGCTTTGCTGGATCGCTGACCAAAAGCACCTTTTCCGTCTCCTCCCTGCCAGACTGTCAGCTGTAAATTTCCAAGCAGTCCAGTCTGCCTGACAGGCTGCCACGCAAGCAGCTGAAGTTTGCCCTTACTTTGCTCTTGTAAACAAAGCAGCACATTTTAGTTGCTGTCACTTGACTGCAGTAATATTAGATTAAATTAGAATTAGCTACATAGTCTAGTCTGGTCTAGTTTTGCTTGCCTGCACGTACAGATGTTATCGAAGCAGTCATCGTAATAAAACGGTATAATTTTAAAATAAGACGTCTTAAGCGACTGAATGCAGTATCTCTTCTTCAAAAACAAAGTCTGTAAGCTGTCATCGCGTACCTCTTGTGAAAGATCCATTCCCATTCACCACAACTCCGCCGTTCTGTTTCTTCCTCTTGAGTCTTTTCATTCCCTCTAAAAGCAGACTACGGACTCTCCGAGTTTACACCGTAACATATGTGAGTTAAAGAATTAAAAATATGTACGTAAACAGGTGAAAAAACACTGAAAATACCTGTCCTAGTGACGAAGCTTCCCTCAACAGCTGTCGCTACTTAACTCAACCGAGCAAGCGTTCTCAGCTACAATGCAATTGGTCAGAAATACCACGTGACCAAAAGGACGTATACTATTGGTTTTCCTTTCACTCGCACTGCAACCTGACTTGATTACAGATTTGTAGTCCATACATGTGAGCGACACAGGCAATTATACTTTGTATAATAAATGTTGAGACAGAAATGTTCTTATGCAGTAACTTTTTTTATAAGGAAAAAAGTGAGTGTTTGTTTCGTAATTGCAAATAAGTAAGAAAAAAAAGGACAGGACACTGTGATTGCTTTATTTTATTTTTTTCTTCACGAACGGGGGATGTCAGCTGAAAATACAGAACTGGCAACCCTTCTGACAAATGCACCTTGAGCCGTCGTAATGAACCGCCCCTCTCATTACCAGCGCTCACATTGCAGGAGGAAGAACATCCCGCTGCTGTTTGTTCAGCTCCTGTTGTGAAGTTACTGAGGGACAAACGAGCGGCGGGCAGTTTGACCAACAATGTCGAGCAGGTAGAAACAGCGTGACTGAAGCCGCGGAAATGAGCGAAACAGCCGAGACGAGAGGGCCCGTAACCCGCCGGAGGAGGACAACCATCACCAGCACCAAGCAAACCAAGAGGCAAGACGCAAGGGAGAAACCTTCACCGTGTTCCGCTAAAGAAAAAGCCGCAGACAAGGTCCAGAAGCATGCGAACAACAACGGCAATGTGGAGAAAGAAATGGGGAAGTCAACACAGCAGCAGCAGCTCGCAAACAGTCCGAAGAAACAGAGGAGTGCGGTAGAAGATATCAACGACATGCTCAGGTAACCTTTGACGTTAACGTTCCAGCATTACGTATAGACGTTAACGGTAAATTGTTAGCAGATGGGTACATCTCATACTCCTCCTCCCCTTTTCATTCATGTGTAATTTAGCCAGAGTCGTTATTCTTCCTCCATTGTTTCCTGTAGCTTAATTGCCGTTTCATGACAGGTTAGCGGGTACTTATTTCTTACAAAGCTGTTCTTGAGCTAGTGGGCATTTAAAAAAAAAAAGACTCAGTTGCAGAAACCCAAAAGTTGCACTTAATCTTAACATTTCCATAAGCTTTAAATACCTCCTTTTGAGTTGCCTTCGTTCATCCCTCTTTTTTTCTGCATTTTCTACATTTCTTTAATAGCCTTGCATGAATGCAATCTGTGAGAGTCTGGCACAGGTCTGGGGAGCTTTTTTATTTCCAGCTTTATAAACAAACTGACATAACTTTCATTGCTTGCTTTTTTTATTAGCTGGAATTTGCTCTTTTGCCAGGCCAATAATAAATAATTTAAGAAAATAGTCAGCAGATCGATGGAGAGTTTGTCTCAGATGTCTCTAATTTTGATGCAATATATAAATGAATAATAGTAACAGACTTCTTTAGCAGAACACTCACTCACTTGTTGAACAGAGGTAGGGTAGCTTTGAGTTTGTATACAGGGTGTGTCAGGAGAACAGGTAGGGTATGACCGACCTTGCTGCAAACAATAGCCCATGCTTCACCCTATGGGCACCACACCAGCTTCTCAGATCTGCCTACCTATTTAAAGCATGCATTTCTTTAGGTTGAAGCCATGCCTTCTTGATTACCCCATGGAATTTCTACATCCTTGTGATTGGTGTGAAGGCCAGGGTCCTAATACGACACTTTAATACACAGTAAAAGGAAGGTGATTTTAATTTGTGATTCATTTTTATTTTAATTGGATCCCAGCCAGCTGGCGTAGGCAAGTGATGTGTTCTTGTGACACATGCTTTGGCAATAGCATGTCTACTGTTTGCATGCATTTCTGCACGTTTCTCATGTTGAGTGAGTGTCCTGGCACTATGTTAAAAACCACTTTGGTTTTTCCTCCTTTCCTCCTTTATTTTTCCATCCTCTTGCCCTCTCTACAGTTTTCCTAACTCGCTGTTATTGCACCATCTCCTCTGACCAGTCTTCTCCTCCTCTGTCCTTGTTCACCCTTTATCACATATGGCTGTGTAAAAGTTCCTTTATGGTTTCTTGATGAACAGCCTCAGTTTTCTAAAGTATAGATTGGGGGCAGTGCTATGTAAACCTTTTAACTGCAGTGTGTGATTTATCCACGTAAAAGCTGGTATAGAAATTAAATAATTTTCCTCTGATCCTAACTTGAAGTTGAGATTAACTTTAATGTCAGATTATACCACATTGTTAAGTGTATTACCACCAGGAAAGTGGTAATCGGTCCAAGAAAAATAAGCTAAGTAAGGGAAGTTCAGCATAGCTGGTCCTCAACATGAAGTCACACGTGTGTCATTTTTGAAGGATTTCTCAATGTGTTAATCATAAATGACTCACTCTGAGTTATCGGTGCATTGTAAGAGTTGTAAAATCAATCCTGTTTCTCTAACTAGATTTCCCCCCTTAGCTTGTGGAGACAGTGAGACAGGAAAGAGTGCTAATCATTTGATTATAGTCTAAAATTTAATGGTGAACGTGTCAACTGTGTGTTTTTCTGCAGGTGTCACAATCTACAGGAGTCTCTCTTGAGCTCAGCCAGCGGCTACAGCAACTACAGAGGAATCCTCAACTGGTGTGTTGTCATGCTGGTGAGTTAAACCTCGTTAAATGTCCACACAGAAATGAAAATGTATGCCACCGTTGCTTCGAAAACTGTGTAACATTTAGAAAGTTAGACCCCTCATTCACCTAAATCTTACTGGTCTGGACAAGGCTCAAGAAATCTCAAAGAATTACTCTCTAATCTCAACAGCTCATGTATGGTTATTCTTATTCTTTGCCACCCCTCTCTCTCACTCACTCACTCAGCCACTCACTCACCCACTCACTCAGCCATCCAAAGTGTATAAAACTACTGCAGCAAAACAAAAGTTCCAGCCCACACAAAGTACACATCCCTCTGGGCTTGCTGTTAGACCTGTTGTTACATTGACTTTTTGTGACACATTAACTTGTCGTGTTGTCTGCAGGAACGCTGATAAATCGACTTTTGTGTTATCTCTCATAACACTTGCAGATTAGCCACATAAGTACTTTTTTTCTTTTTCTTTTTTTTGGTTTTGCTCTGGCCTGGGTTGCCATTTCTTGTAGATATTTCTATATTTTTGATAAGAGGGGTGTTTGTAAGCTACAGTTTAATCTCAGTGAGCTTGTTTGAACTTTCTCATCAAAAGTGAACTTTGTTAGGTGGGCTTATATTACGCGAGGTCTTTAATTTGATGGCCAAATTGTTTTCCTTTTATTAGTGATTTAGGACAGCGTGGCATCGCAGTGGTTAACACTCTCTCCTCACAGTAAAAGGGTCTTGTCTTTTAAGTTTTTATTTGAGTTTTTTATATTGGGCAAACAAATAAATGAGCATCACGCAAAACATGCAACAAAAAAACAAGAGGTTGTGGGATTAGAATCACAGTAAAATAGAAAAAAAGTCATTTGCTCCAAGGTATGTAGATTTTTTAACAGTGTGAGTAAACACTTTTTTTTTTTTTTTTTTTTTTTTTGGCTAACTGCCTGTAGTACCTTTCAAACGGTTTTTATCTTTCTTTTAATTCATGTGGGAAAGCTGCAAAATAACATAAATAAATAAATTAGAACTCTGGAGATCATTCGTGATGATTCTTTCCAAAAAAGTTGACTCAAAATGCTTCAGCTCTAACTTTGATCTAACTGGACCCATATCTAATATTGTGGTAATTTCTTTACTGTAAATTTTTAGTGAGCTAACATCCTTAACAGTTATCAATTCTATGAAAAACTCAATTTTCTAGCTGTAGCAGGGACATTTTTATTAGTAATGACAAAGACATTCCTTCATTCACAACAGCTCACAATGTTTGCTAGTATTGTTATTGTTAATGCTTGCTAGTTATTTGAAAATAACATTTGCTGGAGCTCCTTTTAAAATAATTGAAATGGTTTGCTACAGTGTATGCAAAGACTAACCATTGTGGCTGCCATACTTTGTAGTACTACTAGCATTAATAACTAAATTGGCCAACCTGGCTTTCATACAGCAAGATACTTCTGTTGAAGTTAGCTGAATGCAGGCATTTTAGTTAAATATGTCATGTCCCTCTGTGTTGAGGAGACTTCAGGACTGTTAACCTCATTTAGAAACAAGAGCTTCTGCCCCAGTCCAGTGAGGGAAGTGTTGGTGTCTGTCTCCAAGAGACAGCCTGCAGTGCCCCAGAGAATCCTGTCAGTTTTAGCCTTATAATAGGCATGTAGATTTAAAAATATCCAGTTAGCTGTAATCTACATGAAAGGGAATTCAACTCTAAATGTCCTTTGTGTGTGTGTGCTTGTGTGCTTGTGAGCTTTGCATATCCTTGTGTAGATGTACTTGCGTGATTGCTCTGTCTGCATGTATCTATGCAGATTTCTGTATGTATGTATTTGGGTGGTTCTATGACGGGTTTATTCCCGTTTTTGAAGGTTTAGATTGCCGTTCAGCACATCTTTCACTTTGTGGTCACCACATACCCAACGGATGGTGTTCACTTTAGACGTTTTTCAGAGGATGCTTTAGGATTATGCTGTAAAAATGTAAAGTGGACCCCCAGAGCCTTGAATGTGTGTATATTTAGGAGTTCAGTAAGTTGTGTACTTTGTTCTCGATAACAAGGACCATCAGATAAATTCCTAAAATGTCAGCTGTAGAAGTGCATGCTTCTAGAGATGGGAATATAGATGTATTTTGTGCCCTCTATGATTTTTATTTGTAAGATTTAACACAAAATAACAGGGAAAAACTAAGTTTTTAAGAAAATAGCGCAAAATACTAGTAAGAAATTCGTCTTGTGAGAGAAAACTCAATATTCTTGGTACTCCATCCTCTGCATTGCTGGCAGGATAAAATACTTCTCATGTTGTGTAATTACTGAGCTGGCATCATCTAGTATCCGAACCCTGGGAACAAAGTCTACATGGGATTTTAAGACTTCCAGAATACCTTTTTGTTTATATTTGTCCTCAGCACCTGCATAGATTATTTGTT